GCGGCGACAGCACGAGCCTGACCGGAACGACGAACCCGGACCTGGACCAGCCGGCGACGCAGGGCGGGACGGACACGGACGGCTCGGAGTCGATCACCCAGGTCGTGGTGACGCTTTCGGCGGGCGAGCTGGGCTGGACGCCGACCGCACCGATCACCGTGTCGGGAACCGGTCCCTGGACCTTCGACACCTCCGGGGCCTCGCTTGAAGAGGTCCAGGCGCTGGTGGAGAGCCTGAGCGTGACGCCGCCGGCGGGTTTCGACGGCGAGATCACCGTGACGGTCGAGACGACGACGGCGGAGGCTGCGACGGAAGGCGGCGCGAACGGGGCCTCCGGCGAGGAGTGCGACGAGAGCGACAACGTCGACGTGGACGTCTACCCCTTCACGGTGACGGTCAACGACTCGACACCGGAAGTCGTCGCGGCGACGAAAAGCCAGGTGGATGAAGACGATCTGGTGCCGGAGGGCAGCGACCAGTCTGGCAGCCCGATGGACACGGGCAGCATCACGGTCGACTTCTTCGGCGATCAGCCGGACACGGCCGACCTGATGGCCGCCTTTGCGTTTACCGGCGGCATCAGCGCGGGGACCGGGCCCAATGGCGAGACGATCACCTACACGCCCATGGACGGCGGTCAGAGCCTGACGGCCAGCATCGGCGGTGTCGACATCATCAAGGTCGAAATCACCGGAGCGGTCGAAAACAGCGGCAATGTGACCTACAACTACAAGGTCACCCTGCTGGAGGAGATGGACCACCAGATCGGCGACGACCTCGAAAGCGCTTTCGACTTCACTGCCAACTTCACGGTTACCGACAGTGACGGCGACCCGGCAAACGGCAGCTTTGATGTCACCGTCGTCGATGACGTGCCGCAGGCCATGGACGACTGCGTGGAGGTCCAGGAAAACACCCCGATCAGCTACGATCTGATGTTCGTTCTGGATAACTCCGGCAGCATGAACAATGACTCCGGAATCAGCGGGCAGACCCGTTTGCAGGCAGCCGGCGAGGCGCTGAAGGAGCTGATCGACGCCTACTTCGCCATCAGCAACGATGTCTCGATCCAACTGCTGACCTTCGCAGGGACTGCGGTGCCGGTCGAAGGGGTCTTCACGACGGCAGCCGCCGCGAAGGCCGCTGTTCAGGACATCGTAAACAATCCCAACCCGGACTCGGCCTCAACCAACTACGAGGACGCGCTGGCGGAGGCGCAGGCCAATTACGCACCGGGCGCCTCAGGGCCGACCGACATCAATACGGTCTATTTCCTGTCCGATGGCGAGCCGACGACCCGGACCAACGACGGTGTCAATGACGGTGGCGGTTCCGGCAGCAGCCTGACCCCCGGCGAGGTGGCCGCTTGGGAGGCATTCCTGGACTCCAAGGGCGCAAACGCCATTGCCGTCGGTGTCGGCACCGGCATCAGCGGAACCGACCCGGATCTGCAGGCCGTCGCCTACCCGGACACGCCGGTGATCGTCACCGACTTTGCCGACCTGGCGAATGCGCTTGTGGGCACGGTGCCGCCGCCGGTCAGTGTTTCGGGGAATGTGCTGGATGGTGCGGACAACACGCCGGACACCAACGACGCGGGTGAAGACATCCTTGGAGCCGATGGCCTTGGACGGATCGAATCGATCGAAGTCAACGGTGAAGTCTTCACGGTTCTCGACGACGGCACTTTGGATGTGTCAGGAACCCCAAGCAGCGCCACAGGCAGCTACGATAACGCGACCAAACTGCTGACCATCGAGACCGATCTCGGCCGGTTGGAAATCCAGATCGAGAGCCACAACGGCAGCAGCGCGGGCGACTACACCTACACGCCGGATGTGTCGGTGCAGCACGGCGCGCCGGGGTCGCCAACCGACGAGACGGTCGAGGACACTTTCACCTACGTCGTCAGCGACGGCGACGGCGACACGTCCAGTGCCGATCTTGTGATCAAGATCCAGGACGGGGTGCCGGACGCAGTGGACGACACGGCGACCGCCGTGGCCGAGGCCTCGGCAAGGCCGCAGAACATTGCGATCGTCATCGACCGCAGCGGGTCCATCGACAACACCGAGTACGCGCAAGAGCTTGCTGCGGTGCGGACCTTCATCCAGACGCTGATCGACCAGGGCAATCCCGGCAATCTGGCCTTTACCGTCGTTGCCTTCTCCGGCAGCGCGACCAATTTCGGGACCTATCTTTATGACGGCACCGGGAGCGGGCTCGACGACTTTGACGAGATTGGCGGCAGCGAGAACCTCGACGACCTGCTGACGACGTCGGGTATCTCCAACACCAATGGATCCACGAACTTCAATGCGGCGCTTGATACCCTGTTCAGCAGCGGCTCAGACTTCCTGAGCAACGATGTCGCTGACTTGCCGGGCCACGCCGACCGGATCTTCTTCCTGAGCGACGGCAATGTGACCTCCGGCCCGGCCGGCATAACAACAGCCAACAAAGACAACATCCTTGATAACGACATTGATCTGGTGCCGGTTGCGATCGGCGACGGTGTCACGCCGTCCAATTTCGTCACCTTCTTCACTGCTGACATTGTAGCGAGTGAAGACGATGTGCTGACGGCCACCGACTTCGACGACCTGGCGGACACCTTGATCGAGGGCCTGGTCTCCGACGCCGTGGCCATCGGCAATCTGCTGAGCAACGACATTGGCGGCTCCGACGGCTTCGGCGCACCGGAGCCGATCGTCCAGATCGAGCACAACGGGATCGTCTACACCGATACCAGCGGCGGCGGTGCCGACGACGGCATGGTCGAGTTCACGACCGCCGCCGGCGGGACGCTGATCGTCAATCTGGCCACCGGCGCGTTCGACTACAGCATCGACCCCCTGGTTGCTACGGCAGACCAGGAGACGTTCACCTATACCGTTGTCGATGGCGACGGCGACACCGATACCGCGACGCTGGTCATCGATATCGTGGCTCCGCCGATTGCCGTAGCCGACACCGTGATCACCAATGACACCTCCGGCGATCCCTTGCCGGTCGCCAAGAGTGCCTTGCTCCATAATGACACATCCGATCCGGACCCGAGCTTCACCGATCTTCAGGCCAGCGGTGGCGACACGGTCGGCCAGTCCGGAGGCGATATCGTTTTCGATCCGGCGACGTCCGGCACGGGCGACCGCAGCTTCACCTACAAGCTGGAAAACGACGGGCTCAGTTCCAGCAACGCCAACGTTGACGTCATCCGGGTGAGCGGCGACAGCGTCACCGGCGGTGCCGACGATGAGATCCTCATCGGCCGGGACACCGTCGATGTGGTCTCCCGCAGGGTGGTGGGCCGTGCCGTCGGGGAGGGCGGGTCCGGCAACACGAACTTCCTGCAGTTCGCCCTGCCGATCGCCGCGTCAGGCGAATACGTGACCCGGATCGTTATCGACCTTAGGGCCGGCGGCGACTCGGACGCACGCTTTGATCCGGCGGGATCCCCCGGTAGCAGCGACTACGGCCCGACCCTGGGCACTCTGAACGGCCTGGCTGCCGGTGACATCAGCTTCTCGCCGACTGACAGCACCAGCTCTACGCTGCAGATCGATTTTAACGCCAACAGCTTCACAGCGGGCGACGGCTTCGGCTTCAACATCGACGTCGACGATCTGAGTGGTAATGACGGTGACGACTTCGGGGATGGGGGCGTTACTTTCACGGTCACGTGGTCCGACGGCTCGACCTCTGTGGGAACCTTCGTCCGGGATGGCAATAGCGATGACTCGACCGGTATTGCGCAGACCACCGTGGCTGAAGCGGCCGCGGACAGCCTCTTCGGCGAAGCCGGAGACGATGCGCTCTTTGGCCGCGCCGGCGATGACATTCTCGTGGGTGGCTCGGGCTCAGATACTCTTACCGGCGGCGATGGTGCGGATAGCTTCGTCTTCACCGATCACGTGGTGGGCACGGACTTCGACGTCGTGACCGACTATGACCGAGACGAGGGCGATGTTCTGGACATCAGCGATCTTGTCAGTTTCAGCGACGGCAGCGACGCCATCGCCGACTTCTTCTCGGCGGTTCAGGATGGAGCGGGCACGACATTGAAGATCAGCACGGATGGTGCGCTCCCGTTCACGGATGTCGCCTTCCTCGACGGCGTTATCCAGGGCGACACGATAACGGTCATCCTTGATACGACGGAGCACAACATCGTCGTTTCATAGTCGGGATCCCGACAGCGACATCGGGCATCCTGACCGGGGATCCCGATGGCTGCCGAGGCTTGAGGCTGATCCCCTTCGCACTTGGCCCCGCGGGTATCTGCCTGCGGGGCCGCCCATGTGAGCGGCTGTGGGTCCTCTATTCCGCGGGCTCGGGCATCACCGCGGCAGGCACCTTGGTCCTTACCCCCTCGGGACCCCGCCAAAGGGCTTTCGGTATCAGCCATGGCCTCGGCCGCTTCTGGGCCCCGGAAACACCCCTTTTCCAGACACAACCCACCTACCAGCCACAACCGCGCCCAAGGGCGTGGTCGTCCCTGTTCAGGGCGCCGCTCGACGGTGGGGGCACCGGACGTCATCAGCCGGGAAAAACGCTGCCGGAAATACCCCTATAGATTTATTTTAGAGGATTCTAGTTTCGTTTAACGAGTAAAAATTAATCATTTTCAGTAGGAAACCGGGCTCGGGAGGGGCGAGGCAATTTTGGGACATTGGGCACCCCGAGCGGGTCTGATTTAACCCTTTTGGGGCATTTCCTTAACCCTTTGTGGGACATCGCGTGGTTTGTTTCAATAACCTCATACATAACACTGTCGTATTTAACAGAAGTTTTCTTGTTATTGCCACAGCGTTCAAAGACACTGCGAGCAACTGGATTAATCAGCACCCGGGAGTGCTGCGCCGCCGTTTTTGCGTGTGCGAACTCCCCGCCTGGTCATAACGGAGGAAGAAAATGACGGACGATCTCACCCGCGGCTATGAGGGTCAGGACGACATCACGGCCGAGTCCGCCGAGAATACCCCCGAAACAACGTTTATCTCCGGCAGCGAAGGCAGCGCGGCCGTGGTCGGCCAGGCGGCCGCCCCGGTCAACGTGGCGCGCCCGGCGCCGGGACAGACCGTCGAGGTCCAGGCCGCGCCCGGCCAGGTGTACAACCTGACCTTCCCGCCGGGCGGCGCGCAGGTTCAGGTTCAGGGTGAGAACTTCATCCTTGCTTTCGATGACAACGGTGACGGCACGCCGGACAGCCAGATTGTCTTCCTCGATCTGGTGACGGTCGTCGAGGCGGGTGATGCTCCGACCTTCACGGTGGCCGGGACCGAAGTGGGTGCTGACGTTCTCCTCAACCAGGCTCTTGCGCTCGCCGGTCAGGACGACGCGACGCTGGAGACCGCGGCCGGCCAGGGGCCGCAGGGCACGGGTGCGACCCAGTACAGCGACGATTTCAACGAAACCATCACCCTTCTGGATGCGCTGGGCGTGATCGACCCCACCTTGCTCGAGTTCGGCCTGATCGGTGTGGAACCCGACGAGATCCTTCTCGCCGAGGTCGAAGAGGTCGAGGTGCCGCTGCTGATCAACGAGATCGGCGTCTCCGTGCGCATGGAGGTGCCGGATCTGCCGGGCACCGAGGATCCGGGCACCCCCGGCGATTATGGCGACGAGCAGCTCTTTTCGGTTGCCAGCGAAGACAGCGAGGAAGAGCCGCGGGAGTACAACTTCGTTGAGCTGGTCAACACCTCCGGCGAGGCTTTCGACGCCAGCGGTCTGACTCTCGAGATCCTGAATCCGGCCGGGGAGGTCGTGACCTTCACGCTGCCCGGAGGCACCGTGGTGCCGGCCAACGGTTTCGTGGTGTTCTACCAGTCCTCCATCGATCCGGATGCGGACGGTGAGACCGTCTTCGTTCGCATCTTCGATGCAGAGGGCAACGTGGTCGGCGGCGCCGACGTGGAGGGCGCGGACTTCTGGGCCCTGGGCGAGGACACCACCGATCCGATCGCGGTGAACCTGGTCTTCGAGAACGAGGACGGTGTGGCTGAGTCCGCCGACACCTTCGCGGCCAATCTCACCCAGGCCGAACTGGGCGGCCTGACCGATCCCAGCTTCGCCGGCGCGCCCAGCGATTTCGGCTCGCCGCTCATTGATCTGAACTTCGAGACCTTCAACGGCCAGTTCACCGGCAACCACCACATCTTCTCGCGGGTGGACCTGGACGATACCGACAGCCAGAGCGACTGGACGACCAACAACACGCCGACGGACGGCCTGTTGAACAACACCAATCTGCTGGAACTGGTTGCCTTTTCCGCGGGTGGGGGCACCGGTGGCGAAGAGCCGGGGTCCGGGCTGGTGCGGGTCGATCTCAAGACTGGCGAGACAACGGCCGTCGGCGACATCACCTTTGAGGGTGAAATCCTTGACATCGCAGGCCTGACCTTCGGGCAGGGCGAAGACGCTTGCTTCCTCTTCGGCTACGAGGATGACAATGACCGCATCGTCAAGCTTGATCCGGAGACTGCCGAAGTTCTGGAAGTCTGGACCCTTGATGGCGAAGGCGTGGCAATTGATCGGCCGGGCTTCACCTTCGCGTCTGATGGAAAGCTTTACGTCATCGGCCAGGGTGAGGGCGTTTTTGAAGTCAATCTGGCTGGCGATGGCACCTTCTCCCTTTCACTGGTGACCGCGGCGAATCTTGGAACTGGTTTCGAACTGACGAGCCTGGCGGCAGACCCCAACGATCCGGACATTCTTTATGCGATGGGCCTTGATGGCGGGGGCACGGTCAAACTCTTCACCATCAGTGTATCGACCGGCACGGTGACCGAATTGCCAGGTGTCATCACCGAGAATTCCGGCGACGACGAATTCGGGCTCTCCTTCGACGCGTTTGGCCGGCTCTGGGCGATCGACGAGAACAACGAGCGCGCCTTTCAGGTCGATCCGGCCACCGGCGCCGAGATCCCGGATACCTCGGTCAACCTCTCCACTGTTGGTCTGCCCACAGGCTTCAGCTTCGAGTCCCTGGCGATCCAGCAGGTCGGCATCGACGAGAACCCCTGGGATCCGCTGAACGACGATCTGAACCCCGGTCAGGTCAATGACGATCCGCTGGCGGGCCAGAACTTCATCCAGGCCACCGATCCGGAGGGCGAGCAGCTTGAGGGCCGCGGCGGACCCGACTTCCTGTTCGGCGCCCAGGGCGCTGACTCCCTCTACGGCGGTTCTGAAGAGGACTATCTCGAGCAGTCGGAGAAGGTGCTGGAGCAGGGCATCGACCTTCTTGAGGACGCGCTGAACGGCGACGGCTTCGAAGGGGCGGCGGGCCTGAATCACAAGCCCTTCTTCAACGACCACAACGACTTCCTGTTCGGCGAAGCCGGCGACGACGAGATGTATGGCGGCTCCGGCGGCGATTTCATGATCGGCGGCCAGGGCGACGACTCCCTGGACGGCGGCACCGGCGACGACCAGATTTACGGCGACGGGGCAGGTGATATCGACGGCGATGGCTCGGAAGGCACGGACGGACTGCCGGACGACGACCAGAACCACGAAGGCCACGACGTCATTGCCGGTGACGCGCTGAATAACGTGAGCGCACTCTTCGCCGAAGACGAGCAAGAGGAAGAAGAGGAAGAAGAGGACGACGGCGAGACCGAAGTTGCTTTGGCGTCGATGATGCTCGCAGAGGTCGACCAGGTCGTCAGTATCCCTGAAGACATTGATATCGGTGCGGCGCTCGCCATTCTCGGCGGCAACGACACCATCGTCGCCGGCAATGGCGACGACAAGGTCTCCGGCGACGCGCTGGCCACCGGCGAAGACGTGGCGCTGGCGCTCTCCTATTCCGACGACTCCATCAAGCGTCCGGAAGACGGTTTCGGCAACGAGGACAGCGGTTTCGGCAACGACGTCATTTCCGGCGACGAAGGCGCGGACTCCATCGGCGGCGACGCCGCGGCCATCACCAGCGGCGGTGACTATGGCGGTCTGGCGGTCGCGGTGGCCAAGAACCTGGCGATCTTCGGCGCATCCAAGGCCGATGTCGGCAGCGACTCCATCGACGGCGGTGATGACGACGACGTCATCGGCGGCGACGCCCTGGCGGTTGCCGGTGGCGGCGATGGCGGCGAGGGCGGCAGCGGCGCGGCCTACGCGATTTCCTACAACGCCGCCGAAGACGGGGGCGATGCCGGCAACGATTACATCACGGGCGACGGCGACTACGGCTCCGGTTCCGGTTCCGAGTTCAGCTCCGAGTACGGCGGCAATGACCGGATCGGCGGCGACGCCGCGGCCATGGGTGATCATGCCACCGCCAAGGCCTACAACACGGCGGAAGGTCGCTCATCCACGGCCGGCAACGACACGATTTATGGCGACGCCGTCTATGGCGACGGCGGGGAAGGCTATACCGGTGGCAACGACTCCATCGGCGGCGATGCCGCGGCCTTCGGCAAGTACACTGCGACGTCCAAGGCCTTCAACACGGCCGTCGATGGCGACGAGGGCTCAGCCGGCAACGATTACATCAACGCGGGCGGTGGCGAAAACAAGGTCGCCGGTGATTCGCAGGCGATCGCCGAGTACGGCAGCGCTTCGGCCTATGGCGAAAACACTGCCGGCGACGGCGGCAGCGATGACGGCAACAATGCCGGCAACGATACCATCCATGGTTCGGTCTGGGGTGCCGACCACATCTCCGGCGGTTCCCAGGCGATTGCGGGCCACACCGCCTTTGCAAAGCAGAGCAACCATGCCGGCGGCGAAAACTCCGCGGACGATGACAACAATGCCGGCAACGACAAGATCTATGCCTACAACGGCGAAAACACCGTCGCGGGCGACGCCCAGGCCATCGGCACGGGTTACTACTCGACGGCCACGGCAAAGTCGCATAACCACACCGAGGGCGACGACAACAAGGCCGCGAACAATTCGGCCGGCAATGACACCATCCATGCCGGCCACCAAAGCGACAAGGTTTCCGGCGACGCCCAGGCGATAGCAGGCTATGACGCCAAGGCGTGGTCCACCAACAAGGCGGAAGGCGACGGCAACGACGCCGGCAACGACTACATCGATGTCGGTCGGGGCCACAACAGGGTAGCCGGCGACGCCCAGGCGATTTCGTACCATGACGACGCCTATGCCTATGGCGACAACCGGGCGCTGGACGGTGACGGCAACAATGCCGGCAACGACACCATCCATGCCGGCAACGACAGCGACACGATCTCCGGTGGCGCGCAGGCGCTGGCCAAGGACTGGGCCTACGCCGAACAGAAGAATCACGCCGGCAGCAACAGGTCCGGCGACGACTACAACGACGCGGGCAACGACAAGATCTACGCGGGCCGCGGCGACAACGTCCTCGCCGGCGACGCCCAGGCGATCTCGTCCCACAACGACGCCAAGGCCTATTCCCACAACCATGCCAACGACGATGACAAAAATCGCGCCGGCGACGACAAGATCGAAAGCGGCAACGGCAAGGACCGGGTCTCCGGCGATGCCCAGGCAATCGCGAAAGATCTTGCCTGGTCGATCTCCGAGAACAAGGCGGAAGGCGGCAGCTACAACAATGCCGGCAACGACTACATCGATGCCAGCCACGGCGACAATCTGATCGCCGGCGACTCCCAGGCGATCTCCTCGCACGGGACGGCCAAGGCCTTCGGCAAGAACACGGCTGTTGAAGACGACGACAACAATGCCGGCAACGATACGATCAAGTCCGGCAACGACAAGGACACCATCTCCGGTGGTTCCATGGCGGTGGCTGCAGGCTTTGCCTATGCCAACCAGATCAATTACGCCGACAAGGGCGATGCCGGCAACGACTCGATCGAGTCCGATCTGGGATCGCCGGACGATCACGACGAGGTAGCCGGCGACGCCATGGCCCGCTCTCTGGGCGATGACAAGAACGATGCCGTTGCAGTCTCCATCAACACGGCGAACGGCTGGACCGGTGATGCCGGCAACGACACCATCAAGGCCGGCGGCGGCAACAACTATGTCGCCGGCGAGGCCATGGCGGTGAACACCGGCGACGATGCCAAGGCCTATGCCGACAACACGGCCACCAACGGTGCCGAGGCTGGCAACGACAAGATCTACACCGGCAATCATAACGACGTGGTCTCCGGCGGCACGCAGGCGCGGGCCAAGGACTTCGCCAAGGCGGACACCGACAACCTGGCGACGGGCTACAAGTCCTCTGCCGGCAACGACTACATCGATGTCGGCGGCGGCTGGTGGAACAAGGTTGCCGGCGACGCCCAGGCGATTGCCAAGAACATCGCCAAGGCCTTCGGTAACAACGATGCCAAGTACGGCGACGACAACGACGCGGGCAACGACACCATCTATGCGGGTTGGGGCAGCGACACCATCTCCGGTGGTTCGCAGGCGATTGCAGGCAATAATGCCTACGCCGAGCAGAACAACCATGCCGGTGCGTGGGCGACCGATGACGACAACAGGGCGGGCAACGACGAAATCCATGCTTACGACGGCAAGAACGTCGTGGCGGGTGATGCCCAGGCCATCGGCGAGAACTTCCTGTCGGTTGCCAAGGCGAAATCCCACAACCATGCCCAGGGCGATGACGAGGAGGCCGCCAACAACCAGGCCGGCGACGACAAGATCTATACCGGCAAGGATGACGACAAGGTCTCGGGCGACGCCCAGGCGATTGCCGTGAAGTATGCGGAGGCCAGGTCTGAGAACAAGGCACTCGGCGACGGCAACCTGGCGGGCAACGATCACATCGAGGCCGGTGGCGGCGACAACAAGGTCGCCGGCGACGCCCAGGCGATCGCGGGTGGCATTGCCAAGGCCTATGGCACCAACACCGCCGGCTTCGACGATGCCGACCGCGACAATGCCGCTGGCAACGACACCATCACTGCGGGCAATGGCTCCGATACGGTGTCCGGCGGTGCCCAGGCTTTGGCCGGTGTCTATGCCTATGCCAAGCAGACCAACCTGGCCGGCGCCGGCGGAGACAACGAAAGCGGCAACCGTGCCGGCAACGACAAGATCACCGTCAACGGTGGCCACAACAAGGTGGCCGGCGATGCCCAGGCGATCTCGTATTTCGGCAATGCCGATGCCTACGGCAAGAACGAGGCGGCGGACGACGGCAGTGCTGACGGCAACTATGCCGGTAACGACACCATCTATGCCGGCGATCAGAGCGACAGCATTTCTGGCGGCGCCCAGGCGATCGCCCATAACGATGCCTATGCGTCTCAGAGGAACGATGCCGGTACCGGCGATCGGGATGACGACAACCGTGCCGGTAACGACGAGATCCACGCTTACGACGGCCACAACAAGGTCGCGGGCGATGCCCAGGCCCTGGCTGGCGATGACGCGACGGCGGTGTCGGTGAACCACGCGGACAGCACCGATAACGAGAACGACAATACGGCGGACAACCAGGCCGGTAACGACAAGATCTACACCGGTCAGCACAATGACTCCGTCTCCGGCGACGCTCAGGCCATCGCCGATGACGAAGCAAAGGCGACTGCCACCAACACGGCCCTTGGTGAAGGCAACCAGGCCGGTAACGACTACATCGATGCCGGGAACGGCATGAACGAAGTGGCCGGCGATGCGCAGGCGGACTCCGAGAACGGCAATGCCGACGCTGAGAGCAACAACACGGCAAATGGGGCCGGTAACACGGCCGGCAACGACACCATTTTCGGCGGCAACGATGCCGACCTGATTGCCGGCGGCTCCCTCGCCACTGGTGATACCGGTTCGGCGGTTACGAACAACGTCGCCAATGACGGCGGCGTGGCCGGCGAGGATTCCATCGAAGGCGGCGCCGGCGGCGACACCATCTCCGGTGATTCCGGCTCGGTCGTGGTGGAAGGCGGTACGGCGACGGCCAACAACACAGCTGGCAGCTACAGCGCGGCTGGTAACGACTACATCGACGCCGGCAGCGGCAACAATGTTGTGGCCGGCGACGCCCAGGAGAGGGCGTACAACAATGCCGTGGCCCAGGCGTACAACACCGCCGACGGCTACAAAGCCGATGCGGGCAACGACGAGATCCATGCTGGCCACCAAAACGACAAGGTGTCCGGCGACGCCCAGGCCATCGCCGAATACGATGCCAAGGCAACGTCTCATAACAAGGCATTCGGCAAGTACAGCGATGCCGGCAACGACTACATCGATGTCGGTCACGGCCACAACAAGGTGGCCGGCGACGCGCAGGCGATTTCGTACTACGACGACGCCAAGGCCTACGGCAGGAACGACGCCAAGGACGGCGACTACAACGATGCCGGCAACGACACCATCCATGCCGGTAACGGCAGCGACACCATCTCGGGTGGTGCCCAGGCGATCGCCAAGGATGATGCCTATGCCCAGCAGATCAACCACGCCGGCGGCAGCAAGGGCGACGACGATAACAACGACGCCGGTAACGATGAAATTTACGCGGGCCGGGGCCACAACGTCCTGGCCGGTGACGCCCAGGCCTACTCCTCGCACGACGACGCCACGGCGTATTCCCACAACCATGCCAAGGACGATGAAGACAACCGGGCCGGCAACGACAAGATCATAAGCGAGAACGGCGGCGACCGCGTTTCTGGCGACGCCCAGGCGATCGCGAAGGACAAGGCCCTGTCGACCTCCGAGAACAAGGCGGAAGGTGACGACGACAACGAGGCCGGCAACGACTACATCGATGCCAGCCACGGTGACAATCTGATCGCCGGCGACTCCCAGGCGATCTCCTCGCACGGCAGTGCCACTGCGTATGGCGAGAACACCGCCAATGACGGCAGCGGCAACGATGCCGGCAACGACACGATCAAGTCCGGCAACGACAAGGACACCATCTCCGGTGGTGCCATGGCGGTTGCAGCTGCGGCGGCCTTCGCCAAACAGGTGAACGCCGCCGACAAGGGCGACGCGGGCAACGACTGGATCGGGTCCGACGAGCATCCTGACGACGATGACGAGGTAGCCGGCGACGCCATGGCCCGCTCCAAGGGCTGGGGTTACAACGACGCCGTTGCGGTCTCCGAAAACACCGCGGACGGCCGCACCGGTGATGCCGGTAACGACACCATCAAGGCCGGCGACGGCGACAACTATGTCGCCGGTGAGGCCATGGCGGTGAACACCGGCGATGACGCCGAGGCCTATGCCGACAACACGGCGACGGGTGGTGCCGAGGCCGGCAACGACGATATCTACGGCGGTTCCGACGAGGACGTGGTCTCCGGCGGCACGCAGGCGCGGGCCAAGGATGTTGCGAAGGCGGATACCGACAATCTGGCCACGGGTCACGGCTCCTCCGCGGGCAACGACTACATCGATGTCGGCGGCGGCTGGTGGAACAAGGTTGCCGGCGACGCCCAGGCGATCGCCAAGAACATCGCCAAGGCCTTCGGCAACAACAATGCCAAGTACGGCGACGACAACACGGCCGGTAACGACACCATCTATGCGGGCTGGGGCAGCGACACCATCTCCGGCGGTTCGCAGGCGATTGCAGGCAATAACGCCTACGCCGAGCAGAACAACCATGCCGGCGAGTCCGCGACCGACGACCGCAACAAGGCCGGCAACGACAAGATCTATGCCTACGATGGCAAGAACGTCGTTGCGGGCGATGCCCAGGCCATCGGCAAGAACGACCATTCTGTCGCCGAGGCAAAGGCGCACAACCACGCCCAGGGCGAGGACGAGGAGGCCGCCAACAACCAGGCCGGCGACGACAAGATCGTGACCGGCAAGGATGACGACAAGGTCTCCGGCGACGCCCAGGCCATTGCCGACAAGTACGCGACGGCCACGTCTGAGAACAAGGCGCTGGGCGACGGCAACCTGGCGGGCAACGATCACATCGATGCCGGTGGCGGCCACAACAAGGTTGCCGGCGATGCCCAGGCGATCTCTGGTTACAAGGCCTGGGCCTATGGCACCAACACCGCCGGCTTCGACGATGCTGATCGTGACAATTCTGCCGGCAACGACACCATCACTGCGGGCAACGGCTCCGACACGGTTTCCGGTGGCGCCCAGGCGATTGCCTACGGCGATGCCTATGCCAAGCAGACCAACCTGGCCGGCGCCGGCGGAGACAACGAAAGCGGCAACCGTGCCGGCAACGACAAGATCACCGTCAATGGCGGCCACAACAAGGTTGCCGGCGATGCCCAGGCGATTTCGTACTACGACGACGCCAAAGCCTACGGCAAGAACGAGGCGGCCGACGATGGCAGTGCTGACGGCAACTATGCCGGCAACGACACCATCCATGGCGGCCATCAGAGCGAGACCATCTCGGGCGGCGCCCAGGCGATTGCCTACGACGATGCTTATGCCGAGCAGATGAACGACGCCGGCACCGGCAATCTGGATGACGACAACCGCGCGGGCAACGACGAGATCTATGCCTACGACGGCGATAACAAGGTCGCGGGCGATGCCCAGGCCCTGGCCGGCGACGAGGCGACGGCGGTTTCGGCGAACCACGCGGACAGCAACGATAACGAGCCCGACAACACGGCGGACAACCAGGCCGGCAACGACAAGATCGTCACCGGTCAGCACAACGACAAGGTCTCGGGCGACGCCCAGGCCATTGCCGACGACGATGCGAAGGCGACCGCCACCAATACTGCTCTGGGCGAAGGCAACCAGGCCGGCAACGATCACATCGATGCCGGTAACGGCCTGAACAAGCTGGCGGGCGACGCCCAGGCCATCGCCGGTGATTATGCCGAGGCGGAGAGCAAAAATACCGCCAACGGTGCGGGCAACCTGGCCGGCAACGACACCATCTTCGGTGGCGACGATGCCGACATCATTGCCGGCGGCTCCCTCGCAATGGGTGACACGGGTTCGGCGACGACCACCAACATGGCGCTGAACGGCGGCGTGGCTGGTGACGACTCCATCGAAGGCGGTGCCGGCAGCGATACCATCTCCGGCGAATCCGGTTCCCTCGTGGTGACCGGCGGCACGGCGACGGCCAACAACAATGCCTTTGCGGGCAGCGGGGCCGGCAACGACATGATCGATGGCGGGGAAGGTCACAATGTCGTGGCCGGCGAGGCCCTGGAGACGGCTGATGACGGCGCCCGGGCGTACGCGAACAATACCGCCAATGGCGATCACGCCGGTGCCGGCAACGACTGGATCGGCACGGGTCACGGCTCCGACAAGATCGCAGGTGACGCCCTGGTTACCGGGGCCAACGGCCTCGCCAAGGTCGTCAACCAGGCGGACGATGGCAATGCCACGGCCGGCAGCGACGACATCGTGACCGGCGGTGGCAACGACATGGCTGCCGGTGACGCCGCGGCCTTCGGTGCGGGCTCCAAGTCGGAGGCACACAACACCGGCGACTACGGCGGCGGCACGGCCGGCAACGACACCATCAACGGCGTTGTTGGTGAGGATTGGCTGAGCGGCGATGCCGGGTCCTTCGGCAGCGACAGCGGCGATGCCACGGCCAAGAACACGGCGAAGGTGAACGGCAGCAATACGGCCAACTCTTCCGCGGGCAACGATTACATCGTCGCCAGTGGCGAGAACGGGAAAGACCGGATCTCCGGCGATGCCCTGGCCGCAGGCGTCGGCGCCACCGCGCTGGCGGTGAATATGGCCATGGCCCTGGCGGGCACCAAGGACGCCTTTGCCGGCAACGACACCATCAAGGCCGATGAAGGCGATGCCGGCGGCGCCGGCGACGGCGACGATTACATCGGCGGCGACGCCCTGGCGACCGCCAAGGATGGGGTTGCCATTGCCCAGAACACCGCAAAGGTGGATGGTGACAGGTTGAGCGATGCCTACGCGGGCAACGATCACATCTATGGTGACGGCGACAACAACGTCATTGGCGGCGATGCGGCCAGCACCGCCGAGGACGGCGGGAACGCCACCGCGACGAACTTTGCCGAGGCCAAGGGCGAGCATGGCAACGAAGCCTTGGCTGGCAACGATTACATCGAGACGCGGAGCCATGAGCGCTATGATGGGCTCAGTGATGAAAGAGACCTAATCGCCGGCGATGCCCTGACCCGTGGTGACGGTACGACGGCGCTGGCGGACAACGACGGTGAAGCCAGGGGTAGCGCGTTCGCCAAGGTCGGCAGCGACACCATCCATGCCGGCGACGACAGCGACGCGGTTTCCGGCGCTGCTCTGGCCACCGGCGACGAGGCTACGGCCTATGCCGATAACGACGGCAAGGGCCGCAACCATGCCAAGGTGGAGGTCGACAACGACTACATCACCGGCGGCAAGGATCGCGGCAAGCTGGCGGGTGAGGCCCTGGTGACCGGCGAAGATGCCCTGGCGAAGGCGGAAAACACCGGCAAGGGCAGGAACGACGCTACGGTGAAGGTCGGCAACGACACCATCCACGGTGGTTCCGACTTTGACCAGATCTCCGGTGGCGCCCTGGCGACCGGCGATGGCAGCGATGCCAAGACGGTCAACAAGGGCGTGGCGAGAGGCAGCTCCGAGGTCTACGTCGGCAACGACAAAATCTATGGTGGTCCGGAGTTGTACGATATCGGTGACAAGATTGCCGGCGATGCTTTGGCGACCGGTAAGGATGGTGAGGCCACGGCCAAGAACACGGCCAATGCTCACGACCACGCTACGGCCGAGGTCGGCAATGACTGGATCACTGGTCGCTTTGGCTCCGATACGATCTCCGGCGACGCCATGACGGGTCACGACAGTGGCGACGCCACGGCGACCAACACAGCGACCGTGCACAGCGGCGCCTCCGGGGCGACGGCCGAGGCCGGCAACGACAAGATCTACTCAGGCTCTTTCGACAGCAACGAGAAGATCGCCGGTGACGCCTTGACCCTCAATCACAAAGCGGTCGCGAAGGCGGAGAATACTGCACGGGTGAACGACGGGAACGGCGATGGGAACACCGCTTCTGCCGGTAATGACAAGATCGTCTCCGGTGGTAAAGGTGAGCACAGCATTGCCGGTGACGCCTACGCTCATGGAGATGGCTTGGCGGACGATGACAGCTTCTACATGGCCGTCGTCGAGAACAGTGCCTTCGGGAATGGCTCCTCCGCCGGTAACGATGATATCTATGTCGGCGGCTACTCCGATGTGGCGGGCGATGCCCTCACCACTGGTGAGTATGGTCATGCGCTGGTGCTGAATCAGGCTCTGGTGGATGACGAGGCCCTTGGAGGGCAGCGTCAGGCCGGTAACGACACCATCAAGTCATCTGATTGGCGCTATAAGTCTATCGCCGGCGATGCTTTGGCCACAGGCGAGAATGGCAACGCTAGGGTCCAGAACACCGTTGCCACCGCCGCAGCCGGTGTGATTGTCGGCAGCGATTTCATCGAAGCCGGCAACGGCTGGGATTGGATCTCCGGTGACGCCTTGGCCACCGACGGCGGCGATGCCACGGTGCTCAACGATCTGGTTGCGGAAAACACCGCGAAGGTGAGCGAAGACACCATCCTTGGTGGCGGCGGCAACGACGTAATCGCCGGTGATGCTCTCGCCATCGGCGGTGGCAATGCTTCGGCGACGAACGGCGGCGATGACTCGATCGAGGGTGGGTCTGGCAACGACACGATCTCCGGCGATGTGCTGGCGCTTGGCGGCGGTACGGCGATCCTGATCGATAACGCCGGCGACGACACCATCGACGGCGGGTCAGGCCACGATGTCATTTACGGTGACTCCTCGGACGTCAACGATACGATCGGCGGAGATGATGTCATCTATGGTGGCAGCGGCAACGACCTCATCTACGGCGGAGCCGGCGACGACTTTATCGATGGTGGTTCGGGTAATGACACCATCTACGGCGGGGCCGGCAATGACACCATCGACGGTGGGTTGGGTAACGACATCATCAACGGTGGCGCTGGAGCCGATACCTTGACCAGTGGTAGCCTCACGGACACCGACACCTTTGTTTTCGATGGAAGTGCTGGGTTCGGAGCTGATGCAGATACCATCACAGACTTCGATGATGGTGTCGGCAATGTAGATATTTTGGACTTGGCGGATCTACTCAACGAGGGCGACTTTGGCGATACGGGTATCGCCGATGCCATCGCCCAAGGATATGTCACGCTTAACGAGGTGGCGGGTAACCTTGAGGTCTCCGTCGATCTGGACGGGTCCGGGGGCGGTACCTTTAACTCGGAACTCGTCGTAACCCTGAACGGTGTGACCTTGGCCGATCTCGACGAACTGACCCAGATTGTCGTGGACGGTTAACGGACACCCTTTATCTCAGCGATCTTTGCTCAGTTTTGATGGGCCCGGCGGGAAGCCGCCGGGCCCTTTTCTTTGCCGGCGCTCGCCCGGCCGCGGCTTCTCAAACGCTACGGATTCGCGTGCGGGGTATCCTCGGATTGCCCGGGCTGCCGGCGCGTTCGCGCGGGAGTGTAGTGCTCCGCCCGTCCGTCGCTTCATAAGCGGACGGCTGCCGCCGCCATGCAATCGGCGGCTTAGCGACTGTCCGAACACACACATATCCCCGTACTTGCCCCATTTAGGTTTCTCGATTTTTCGGCCCGCCGGCCTGAGATTTTCGCGTCAGCGGTGCGGTGCGGCCGGTCGTGGGGCGCTCTGGGGAGGGCGCGCCTCGACGTGATGGAGTCCGTCCCGAACCGCCGCGGACGAGGTCTTGGCGATGGGAGATGGAGCCATGGATGTACAGGAGCCGCGATCCGGCGGCACAGCCGATTCCGGAACTCCAGGCTGGAACGAGCGGGAGAACGCAGACAGTGTCGCCCCGCCGCTGATCATTCCGCCCGCGGAGCCGGTCTCCGCAAGGCCTGAGGTGGCGCTCAGCGCCGGGCCGCCGGCCGGTGAAGAGACTGCGGGCGGCCAGGGTGCCGTCATCGTCCTCGGCCAGGCCGGCGCGGCCCAGGTGCTCACCGAGCCGGGCGCCGGCCAGGTGATCTCGATTCCGTCCCGTCCCGGCGACAGCTATGTCGTTGAATTCGACCCGACCGCCGCCCGCGTCAGCACCGAGGGCCGCGACCTGATCCTGGATTTCGGCCAGGACGGCGGCGGGCGCATTGTCTTCAGCGACTTTGCCGACGCCATCGGCCAGGGCGGAGGGCCGAGCTTTCAGATCGGCGGCCAGACCCTGGCCGGTCAGTTGATCTACGGGCAGGCGCTGGCGCTCAACGATCCGGACCTTGAACTTGTGGTGGCCGCCGGGCCCGGCGCGCAAGGCTCCGGCGCTTCGGTCTATGATGACAACCTCGGATCGATCATCGAACTGCTGCTGGGTCAGGACGTGATTGGCGCCACGGCACCGGAGCTGGCTGCGCCGGCAATTCCCGAGGTCGAGATTGTCGATGAGGAGACGCTGCTGCTGGCTGCTGCGGAGGTGGGGCCGGGCGTCGGGGTGCCGCCAACCCTGCTGATCAACGAGGTCGGGGTCTCCGCCGCGCTGGACGTGCCGCCGTTTTCCGAAGATGACGGCAGCACCGGCGGCCCCGCGCCGGTGGTCCTGGCCGACGTCGCCATGCTCTACGACTTCGTGGAGCTGTTCAACAACACGGACGCCGACACCCAGACCTTCGACACCACGCTCGAGATCCTGAACCCTGCAGGCGCGGTCGTGATCCTGGATCTGCCCGACGGCATCGTTATTCCTGTCGGCGGATTCCTGGGACTTTACCAGGACGCCGCGGCGGGCGAGGGGGGCGATGCCACCGTCGTCGGCCGCGTCTTCGATGCTTCCGGGGCCGTGGTGGACGGCTTCGAGATTGCCGATGCCGCGCCCTGGTTGCTGGGGGACGACACCACGGCGCCCATCGCAGTGAACCTGATCTCAGGAGATGGTGATGCTCTCGACACCTTCGCGGCCAGACTCACCACCGCCGAACTCGGCGTGCTGACCGGCCCCGTCTGGACGCCCAACCCGCTGGTTCCGGATAACCTGGATCTTTCACTCGACACCTTCAACAGCCGCTTTACCGGCGACCATCAGGTCTTCTCGAGGGTTTTCGACGAGCGCGACGAAGCTTCCGGGGCGCCCATCGACAGTGACAGCGAAGCCGACTGGACGACCAATACCATTCCGACCGACGGGGCCCTGAACACGCTGTACGGTGGTGATGGGGCCGACCGCGACCCCAATCCTGCCGACCCTCTGCGGGACAATCTTGACCCCGGCCAGGCCCACCCGGACCCCTTGGCGGGGCAGACGGTCCTGGCTGCCGCGGCGGCGGGGGAATTGCTGGAAGGCGGCGCGGGCCCGGACTTTCTTTTCGGTGCAGCCGGCGACGACAGCCTCTATGGCGGCACCCAGGATCTCGCCGACCAACAGAGCGATGCTGCCCTGGTCGGCGGTGTCTTCGATGCGCAGGACCACAACGACTTTCTCAGCGGCGATGCCGGGGCGGACCGCCTTTTCGGCGGCTCCGGCGGCGATTACCTGGTCGGCGGCGCCGGGCAGGACTCACTCGAAGGCGGCACTGGCAACGACCGGCTGTTCGGCTACGTCGCGCCGGTCGGCGGCGTGGATGACGACTTCGACCCGGGGCTGGGGCGCAGCACCGAGGCGGATCTCATTGCAGGCGATGCGCTGGGGCTTCCCGACCCGGATGGTGGAGCGTCCATTTCGGCCACGCAGCGCAACGGCGGCGGGGACGACACCATTGACGGCGGCCTTGGCGATGATCTGATCGCGGGGGAGGCCCTCGCGGCAGGCAACGGTCTGGTGGGCGCGTCGGTGTTGAACAGCGATGCCGAGGGCCCATCCGGTCCCACCGGCAACGACGCCATCGAAGGCTTTGACGGCTTTGACACCATTGCCGGCGAGGCGCTGGCCGATGCCGGAAGCGGCAACGCAGCGGCGATCGTCGAGAACGCGGCCGACCAGGGCCGCGAGGTCGGCAATGATACGATCCGCGGCCTGGGCGCCCGTGATGTCATTGCCGGAGAGGCTTTCTCGTCGGCCAGTGGTGACTCCAGCGCTCTGGACGTGGTGAACCGGGCGACCGATGGCGCTGCGGGCAACGACAGCCTGGACGGCGACAGCGGTTACAACGTCATTGCCGGTGAAGGCATTCAGGGCGGCGGCCGCATTCCCGCTGCGGTAACCACGAACGACGCGCTGGGGCCGACCGCGTCGGCCGGCAACGACACGATCACCGCTACGGAGGGCAACGATACGCTTGCAGGCGAACTATTGTCCTTTAGAGGTCCCAGCTTCGACAGCACGGTGGAAAACCTGTCGGAAGACGGCGGATCCGCCGGCAATGACCTGATCCGCGGTGGTGACGGCAACAACCAGATCTCGGGCGATTTCGCGGGACTGGACGCGACCCGCTTCGTCGGCAACCGCCTGGCGTACAACCAAGCCGACCAGGGAAGCTCCGGCGGCGACACCATCGGCAGTGGGTCCGGAAGGGATGTCATTGCAGGCGACGCCCTGGGGGTCTCGCGTTTTGCAGTGGCGGATGCAGTCAACGCAGCGCTCGGCGCCGAGGGGCGGGCCGGCGATGATCGCATTTCGGACGGCGGCGGTGGAGACCGTACCTCCGGCGATGCCCTTGCGAGCGGCCGGGAGGGAGCGGCGGCGACCGCAGCCAACACTGGCGAAGGGGGCGGCAGTGCCGGGGCGGATACCGTCAGCGGCGGCGCCGGTGCCGACACGGTCGCCGGCGATACCATGGCGGTTACAGCCGGAGGGGCGGCGTTGGCGGAGGGTGAAAACAGCGCGCTTGGCGGCATTGCGGGCGGCAACACGATCCTCGCCGGATCGGGCGCCGATCTGGTGTCCGGCGGCGCCCTGGCGATCAGCGGGTCCGATGCCACGGCCACCGGCACCAATCTCGCCGAGGGCGGCGGCTCGGCGGCCGGAAACGACAGCATCCGTGGCCTGGACGGCTTCGACAGCATCGCGGGCGACTCGCTTGCGCGCGGCGGCGCGACGGCCAGCGCTTCCGCAAGTGCCGATGCGACCGACGGCGGCGCGGCCGGGGACGACACCATCACTGGAGACGGTGCGGCCGACGTTCTGTCGGGCGATGCCATGGCCCTTGCGTCCGCCGGCACGCCCGAGGCCCGCGCGGAAAACACGGCCGCCGAGGGTTCGGCGGGCAGCGACGTGATGTCCGGGCAGGGGGGCAACAACCTGATTGCCGGCGATGCCCTTGCCGATGGGGGGGCGGGCGGTTCCGCAGAGGCCGAGAACACCGCCCAGGCCGATGGCGTGGCGGGCAGTGACAATCTGGTTTCCGGCGATGGCCGCGACACCATTGCCGGCGATGCGCTGGCGCGGGGCGGCGGCGCAGCAAGGGTTACGAACACTTCGGTCGCGGTGGCCGCCCTGGCCGGCAGCGACGTCATCATCAGCGCACAGGGCCAGGACGTTATCTCCGGCGATGCGCTGGCGCTTGACGGGGGAACTGCGGAGGTGATGAACGACGGCCCCGCGGCGGGCGATGACAGTATCAGCAGCGGTGGGTCGCGTGACAGCATCGCCGGAGATGCCTTGAGCGACGGCGGCACGGCATCCGTCACCGGGGGTGGCGATGACACCATCGACGGCGGCGCGGGGGATGACCTTATCAGCGGCGATGCCCTGGCCTTGGACGGCGGTGTGGCACAGGTGTCGGACGGGGGAGACGATCTGATCCGGGGTGGTGGAGGAGCCGACACGGTCTTTGGCGACTCCTCCGGTGACGACTCTCTCGGTGGTGACGATACGATCTATGGCGATGCGGGCGCCGACCTTCTCGCCGGCGACTCGGGCGATGACCTGTTGCTTGGGGGCGAAGACGACGACACGCTCGGCGGTGGGTTCGGCGACGATACGCTGACCGGCGGGGCCGGTGCCGACAGTTTTCTGTTCGGTCGTGTCGAAGACCCGGCGGGCGAGGGCAACGATACCGTCACCGACTTTGCTGCTTCCGAAGACCGCCTGATTTTTTCGGGTGTCACGGACCAGGACAGCGACACAGACATCGATCTTGACGACCTTCTGAACGCCATTGCCTCGGTTGTCGACGCGGGTGCCGGAAACGATGTGACGGTTTCGCTGACGAACGGAGCCTCGGTCACGTTCCTGGGTGTGGGCACAGGCTCCGTGACCTCGGTCGAGGATCTGGTGAACGACCCGTCCACCCAGATCATCGTGGTGACCTGAAGCCGACACGGCGTGGCATCTTTTCAGGGGTATGAGCGCGCGCCCTGGTAATCGGCGATCGGAAAAGCAAAAAGGAGTACCAGCGTTTGGGAGTATCCCTGTATGGACGGTACTTGAGGAGAACCTGAGCCGGGCGAGACCGGCGCGGTCACCGAGAACCGTTGTGAAGGGATCACTCTTCTCGACGCTTTTTCATTGACTTGAATTCGCGGCTGCGTAGTCTCGACAGCACTGCAAATCCAGGGGTGGATTACGGTCGCGTTGGGATACGCGACGCGGAGGTCTGAAGTGGGACCTCGGCCAAACCTTGGAGCGTTGCGATGCGGAGCGATTTGTCGATTTCGGTCAGGGCGACCGAGGCATGCGTTTCCGGCCCGCCACTGAAAGTCTCCCAGTCCAACCCATCGGCCCGGCCGCTGCGCGATCTCTGCTGCGAGAAGGCGTCGCAGGCCGGCGCGCCCGCGCGGCGCACCCCCGCACCGCCGGCCTGCTGCAACCGGAGGGTTGGCAAACGACCTGAAAGCCCCATCCGCGAAAGCGCCGAAGGGGTGCGGCCCGGCACAGGCAGGGCTTCGCTTCGCCGTAGTCGTTCGAGAGCGTGCCGGCGTATTAACTATCTGATTTATATGGATAATTAGGAACATCAGAAGAAGAGGCCACAACCTTGTGTTTTGATTCAGTGGGTTTGCTGGGTCAGTGGCCTGGAGCGTTCTTACAGGTGAACCATCGTCTTCTGTGATTCGACTGAATTGCAGATCCAGGGGTCAATCGCCGGCGCGTAGGGAGACGCGGCGCGAGTGCTCAGTGAAGGCACTCGAGGAACCCTGGAGTGAAGCCGCATGTCGGAAACGCCGTCACCCTCGGTCAGGACGACCGGGCAAAGAGGGGGCGAGCCCTCTGCCGAGTCATTAACCAACAGATCAAGCTTCGGTTCCGCCGGGCGCAGGACACGACCGGCCCGGTCCCGTCCGGCCGATCGTCCGGATCCACTGGCGCCGCCCCGCCTGATCATCAGCGAGATCGGGCTTGGCGTTTCCAGTCCTGCGCTCCCCGGCGTTCTTGCCGGATCTGCGTTCAACGGTCTGCCGGAACAGCCACGCCTCAACGTGCTTCAACTCCACAATCAGTCCGACGTCCCCATCGGTTCCGCAGACCTTACCGTTGAGTTGCTGAACCCGGGCGGGAAAGTCATCGAGATAGCGATCCCCGGCGACCACCAGATTCCGCCAGGGGGATTTCTGATGCTCTATGAGCAATCGATCGAAGTCGGCAGCGCGCTGGTCGCGATTGTAACCGGCGCGTTTCTGGATACAGACGGAGCGCTTCTGGGTCAGTTTCGGTATCCGGGCACGGTTCCGTGGGAACTTGGTGCGGACGTTTCCGCAAAGCTGGCGGTCAACCTCGTCCTTCACTCAGACACCGCAGGTGAGACGGCCATCGACACCTTTGCGGCCAACCTCTCCCCCGCCAGCCTGGGTGTTCTCAGGAGCCCGCGCAAGGTGGCTTGCCGAAGACGCTCCGGCCTCGTCCTGCCTGCGGACTTTGAGGTTCTCCACGGCGATCTCAGTCCGTCGCCGAACGTCTTCTCCAGGGTGACCGGCGGCAGGTAGGCGCTTGTATCCGACAGGAACGCCGGCTGCCACCTTTTTGCGATCTCAAGCGGTCGTGGGGGCGGCGTCATCGAGGATCTTCAGGCAGGCTTCGAGGATCCGATCCACGGGCCTGTAGGTCTCACGGGCCTTGATGTCGGCGGCCAGGGCCTGGGCGCGCTCGGCCATGTCGTTGTCGGCGGCTGTCTGCTCCAGTATCGCCGGCAGGGCATCGTCCAGGTCCTTGTTCTGGAGCAACCGCCCGACGCCAAGATCGACAAGGGCGTCGCTGCTGAGGCGTGCCTCCATATGGGTCGGTAACGTTACCTGGGGCCGCCCGCCACTCAGCGCCGCGCAGCAGGTGCCGTTGCCGCCGTGGTGGATGATCAGGCTGGCCCGCTGGAGCACCTCGGCCATGGGCTGGGGCTCGCGATGCACGGTAAGGCCCGGCCGGCTGAGGGAGTTGGCGATGTCGTCGGTCATGCCGCGGGCGAAGATCTCACCCGGTAACCTGCTGGCGCGAAGACCACGCAGAAAGGGCTTGGTCTTTTTGTGTTCAAGACTGACGTAGGCAAAGAAGTGCGGATTGGCGGGCAGGGGCCGTGGTTCCTGCAAGCCCTCGACAGGGCCGATCACCGGGTCCCGGCGATGCGCGGCGTAGGGGTCCAGTTCCGGCAGTGTGCAGACCATCCGACCCGCCGTCCGGAAAGGTTCGGTCACGCTGCGGGGTACTGGCCGGCGATTGTGCTCCTGAACGTACTGCATCACGTTCAGCACGTGCTGCGGGTCGACCATGGGCTTGCGGCCCGGGCGGAAGGGCGGAAAGTGATCGTCCTGCGCGGGCGGCAGGGTAAAGCCGTCTGCCACCTGGACAACGGGCCATTCCTGAAAACATGCGAGAACGCAGATCGGGCTGTGGTCGCAGATCACCAGGTCGGGGCGCACCTGTTCCAGCAGGCCGCGCCATGCCAGCATGCCGGCATGGAGGCTTTGGCGGCGGAAAAACCCGGAGTGACACATGATGTCGAGGTAGCTGCCGAGGCGCGCGGGTTTGGGGGCGCCGGCGATGCGCCCGACCATGTCGGGCACCGGAAGAATCGGGCGCTTCTCCCTTGCCAGCAGGACGGCGTTCTCCTTGATGTTGCGCAGGAAAAAGACGGCCTCATGGCCGCGGGCTTCCAGCGCTCTCACAAGCGGCATCAGGCGGTGCACGTGCCCATGCCCCGCCCCCAGTTCGTAGCCGACGAGAATCTTTGCCATCTTCCCCTAGCGCCTTTGTTGAGACTGCGGCAGCATCCGGCTCTCAGCGACCGCCCAGGACACTCTCGCAGGTCTCGATGATCCGCTCCATCGGGCGAAACGGCCCCACGTCTCTGATCTCTTCGGCAATGATCCGCGCGCGCTCGGCCTTTCTCGGGTCGGCGACGGTTTCGTCCAGGATCTCCTGGCCGCTCTCCTCGAGTTCCTTGCCGGTGGCCATGCGGCCCACGCCGATGCGCCCCAGGGCGCGGGCATTCAAGAGCGTTTCCTCATGGATGGGCAGGGCCAGTTGAATGCGGCCAGCACTGCACGACGCCAGGCACATGCCGCTGCCGCCGTGATGAACGGTCATGGTAGCGTCGCGCAGCATTTCATCGATGGGCTGCGGCGCTTTGTAGAAGGTCAGGCCCGGGCGGGCGTAGGTCTCGGCGGCTTCCTCGGTCATGCCGCGGATGTACGCCCGCGCCGGCAGCTTCGACGCCTTCAAGACTTCCAGGAACCGGGGGGTTATCCTTTGATCGATGCCCAGGTAGACAAAGAGCGATTGGGTCTTTGGCATCGGTGTGGGGGGCTGCAGGCCCTCGGTCGGACCGATCACCGGATCCTCGCGGAGGTCCTTGTAGGGGTCCAGCCCCATCAGGGTGCAGATCAGTCGTCCCGCGGTGCGCAGCGGCGCGGTCACGCAGGGCACCCTGGGGCCGCCCAGTCGTCCCTGCACATCGTTCATAACCGAGACCAGTTGGTCGGGATCGACCGTGACCTTTTTCTTCGCGCGAAACGGCGGGAAGACGTCGTCCTGCGCCGGCGGAATGGTGAACCCATCGCCGATCTGCACCACCGGGATGCGGCCGTAGGCGGCAAAGCAGGTCACCGGGCTATGGTCGCAGACGATGAGATCCGGGCGCAGCTGATCGAACAGGGTCCGCCAGGCCAGTGTCGCCGTGAACAGCGTCTCCAGCCGGCCGAAACCGCAGTAGACCATGATATCGCTGTAGCTGCCCATCCGCTTGGGTTCGCGCTCCGCAGGGTTGGGCGGCACGAGGTCGGGTGTCGGAATGAAAGGGAAGGGGTTCTTGGTGATCTGCGCCCTGCAGTCATAGGGGTTACGCAGGAAGAAAGTGACCTGATGCCCCCGCGCGGCCAGGGCCTCCGCCACCGGCAGCAGCCGGCGGTAGTGCCCCACACTGTCACCGCGTTCGTATCCAACGAGTACTCTTGCCAAGGTTCAGTCCTTGCCGCTGGGCCGGGACCTCGATCCGGGTACCAGTCCCCTGTTGCGTCCTACAAGGCGGTTGATAAAGCGTTCCAATCGGGTCTCGCAACCCGGAATCCGGAGTATGCCATTTGCCGAAGCTATCGAGACCCTGCTGCGCCCGTGGTTCGCCGGACCGCCGGAAAGGCGCTCTCCCGCCTGGCTTCTAGCGCCCTGCAGGCTTACCGGAGGGTTTAGCCCTCGAAGCCTTTTTCGCGGGCGCTTTCTTGGCCTTGCTCTTGCGCGCGGTCGAGCGGGTGCCGCCGGATTTGGCGGCCGCCTTGGTCTTGCCGTTCGATGCGGTCTTCGAGGACCCGCCCGAGGCTTTCTTCGCCGCAGGCTTCGTTCCACGGCTGCCCGAGGGCAGACGGAAGCTCGGCTTGCCGGGTTTGCCGCCCGGCTGTGGGCGTTTCCCGGCCACCAGATTGTCGATCAGCTTGAGCTGCTCCTTCATGCACTTTTCAAGGTCGTAGTTCTGCAGAACCGTCGTCCGGGCCTTTTTGCGGATGGCCGCCATGCGGTCCTTGTGGTCCAGCACCTCGTCGACGCGGTTGGCGATGGCCTCGTGGTCGAAGAAGTCGAAGAGAAGGCCGTTGCTTCCATCCTTGATGACTTCCTGAACCGGCGGCGTTGCGGAGGCCACCAGGAGGCATTCGGCCGCCATGCTTTCCAGAACGGACCACGAGAGCACGAAGGGGAACGTCAGATAGACATGCACGCCGGAGACCTGAATGACGTTCAGGTAGGTGGAGTAGGGAACCCGGCCCAGAAAGAACACACGGCTGAGATCGAGATCGACCTCTTCCAGGGCCTTCTTGCGGTAGGTCTCGCCGTCGGGCAGCGGCCGCCCGTAGCTCACCTCGTCGCCGCCAATGATGATGATGCGGGCCTTCGGCCTTCGCCTCAGGATGATCTCGGCTGCGCGCATGAACTGCGGAAAGCCGCGATAGGGTTCCAGGTTGCGCACCACGTAGGTGATGACCTCTTCCCCCTGGCGCAGCGTCGTGACCTCGCCGTCGGTATTCTTGATCTCGATGGAGGCATCGGGGTTGCGCTTGCAGACGGCGGTGTCGATGCCATCGTGAACAACAGAGATCTTGTGCCGGAACTCGGCGGGATACTGCTCGAACTGCCAGAGGGTCGGGGTCATTCCGGCATCGGCGGACTCCAGCCCCATGAACTGGATGATGTTCTTGGTCCGGATGCGGCAGTGCGTGTCGAGACTGGCCGGATTCTCCGGATCGAAACCAACGTCGGCGCCGACGGCGTGGTAGTAGAACTCGAAGAACCCCAAGAGCGGTGTGTCGGGAAACACGTCCTTCAGGTACAGCGTCTCGCCCCAGCCGGGATGACCGATGATGATGTCGGGTACGAAGCCCTTGCTCTTCAGTTCCAGCGCCTTGCGGGCGACCTCCTGTCCGTGGAGGATGCCACGCTCAGCGTCTCGGATGTAGCGATGGGTCGAGGCGGCGGGCTCTCGGTTGGGCTTGTAGAGCACCTTGTGGATGTTCGAAAGCTCGATACCTTCCCGCTTGGTAATGAACACCACGGTATTGTCTTTGTCGGCGGCGAGCCGCTGGCAGATGTGCTTGTACTGCCCAGGCATGTTCTGATGGACGAAGAGGTATTTCATAGCTTGGGGCCTTCCCGTTGCCCGGTCTTGGGGGCGGCGCAGTCACTCTATACGGATCCCCGCCAGATTCGGCCAAGATGCTCAATTTTGCGTAAAGGCGCCGCGCCGGCCAGGAGCCGGCAAAAACGGCCGGAACGGACCCGGTCCCGGCTGCCGCCTCTGCAGCGGCGGCGGCGCCCGGCCAATTGGCGCGTTGCGCGCCGGCTGCGCGGGCACCGCCCCGACGACGCAATCCGACCTTCGCGGCCGCAGGCCGCGGCCCGGTCAAAGATTTGAGAGGGCGTCGTCCAAATCGTCACCCTTCGGCGCGTTGTCGAGCCTGTCCTTCTCGGCGACGCGGGCCTGGATCTGCTCCAAGGCCTTGGCCAGTTGCAGGGTCAGCTGCTTCAGGGAGCCGACCGGCATCAGCAGGTGACCGCTGGTGTGCGACTCAAGCTCTGCCTTGTCGTCTTTTCTACGAAGTTGCACCAGCTCGATACGAACCACGCCATTGGAAACGACGATGGAGCCTGTCCCATCAGCGAACAATTCGGTCATGAATATGCTTTCCTTCTATCAATCGCACTAAGTCGCGCCGTGCCGGTCGCGTGAAGAAAATGGCGGCTGCCGCAGCGGATTCTCCGCCGGCCCGATGGGCACCGCCCCCGCCGACCGATGTGGATAGCAGGCTTGCGGCCTTCGATCCAGCGCCCTCAGGCGTTGTGCCGCGAACGCCTAACGCGTGGCAGCGAGCAGGAGCTTGCCCAGGATGTCCAAAGACGCACGCCCGTCTTTCGGCAGGCCGCGGTCTCCCTGAAAGCGTTTGAGCGCCTGAACACGCGCTTCCTGGCTCTGTTGCTCCGCTCTGCGCTGGAGGTAGCCCAGGCTGACCAGAAGGCTGTCGATGGTGCGCAGGGGCACCATCGCCGCCTCGCTGCCCTGGCCGGGCGGCATTCCCTGGGCCCAGCGCGCGGAGGTGCCGGAGAGAGCCGAAGCCGCGTCGCGGCGTCCGCCGTCGGGATGGAAGAGGCTGAAGGAGAGCACTCCGGCCAGCGGTCCATCCTTGTCGGAACGCAGGTCGATGGCATGCAGCCCGATCGCGTAGAAGTCGCTGTCGGCGAAGAGGATGAGCGGCGAACCCGAGTCGCCCTGGATGACATTGCAGTCATGGGTGATCAGCCGGCCTCGCTGAATGAAGCCCCGGAAGGTGCAGCCCCAGCCGGCCGACATGACATGGGCCCGGTCGCGGCGGTAGCCCGCTTGTATGAGCAGGGCATCGCCGGCCTTGATCCGCGACATCATGAGGCTGTCCAGCTTCTTCATGCCGAGCCAGCCGGCCTTGCGTCCGATCGGCTTCTCAAGAGTGAGGATTGCCCAGTCGTGCAGTGCGGCACGAGCACTAACTGGATTGGCATACTCGTAGTTTTCGGCCCGGCGGTAGCTGGCCACCTTGGAATGCAGGATGAAGCGGTCGCGCTGATAGCCAGCGATGAAGTGCAGCTCGATGGGGCCGCGCCACCGCCCGGCCCGGGGGTCGAAGAGGCAGTGGGCAGCGGTGATAACATGCCGCTCGCTCACCAGAAATCCCGTGCAGTGACCGCGTCCCCCTGCGTTGACGCGACCGACGGCACTCCAGGGGTATTCCATTGCATTGATTTCGACCCGCCCGGCAGTGCGGATAGTGCCGTCGAGCGCGAAGGCCTGACCCGCCGTCAGACAGAGCAGAATGACGAACCCGATGGACTTGGCAGCGGCCCGCAGGTCCGCGAAGGGAGTCACCATGGAGGATCAGCCGGCCGCGATGCTGGCGATCAGCTTTTCACCGGAGATAGTCGAAGTCACCTGTCTCAACGCCTCGATCACTGTGGGGTCATAGCGGCTGGAATTCTCCTGCAGAATATCCAGCACCGCGTCGGGTGCAAGGCCCGCGCGGTAGGACCGCGGCTCCACCCTTGCGCAGAAGACATCGCAAGTCCCCAGAATTCGGGCGGTTCGACGGATTGCCTCGCCGGCTAACCCTTTTGGGTAGCCCTTGCCATCAAGGCGCTCGTGCATTTGGGCAATGGTTTCAACGACCGGCAGCTCGAAATCGATCCCGCCGAGAAGCTGAACCGCATGCTCGACATGGGTTTCCATCTGGCGGATTTCCTCCTCCGTCAGACGGGCCGGTTTGGTCAGCAGTTCCTCCGGGACGGCGAGCTTGCCGATCTGGGAGAGATTGGCCGCGAGCTCCAGCGTCGTCAGGTCGTCCTCGCTGCAGCCGAGCTGTTTGCCGACGGCCACCGCGAAGTCCGCGACGCGCCGGGAGTGCCCGGCCAGGTAGGGGTCGCGCAGCTCGATCGCGCGCACCAGGGCGGTGACCATCTGCTGGATGGCACGTTCCTTCTTCTCTTGCTGCTCGACCAGTTCGGTGACATCGCGTGACACCGACACAAGGCCCGGAGCAGCGCCCTCGGCATCGCGGAAGGGTACCTTTGAGATCTGCAGATAGCGCTTCGTCGAGTCGAGGTAGATCTCTTCGTTTGTGGTGACGGCCGTGTCTTCATCGAGGGCGCGCCGGTCGGTAAGCGCCAGCCGCTTGGCGGTACCGCGTCCGAAAACCGCGGCATCGTCCAGTCCGATCATGCTTTGCTGACTGCGGCCCGCCGCCGAGGCGAAGGCCGGGTTCACATAGCGGTAGGTCCCGTCGGGTGCCTTCAGAGCAATGTGCTCCGAGATCGTACCGTTGATGCTTTCCATGAGCTGCTTCTGGGCCTGAATGCGCCCGGCAAGGTCGCGATACTGCACGGCCAGCGTCTCGTTGTGATGGCTCGACAGACGCCACCAAAAAGCGCCGAAGGCAGCAGCGGCCACGAGGACCACCAGGCCGGCAACCAGGACGGCCGCGATGGAGAAGGTGGCAAGGGGCCGCTCGGCGACGGTGACCTCCAGTTCCTCCACAATCCACCATATGGGGCCGGAGACCATGGCGCCTGCGGAATAGACCTGAATCGGTTTGGTGAGGGAAGGACGCTCCGCGAAAGGCACCTCGCCGGCCGCCAGGTCGAAGCCGTCCAAGGTTACCGCCTTGACCGGCTCGGCGGCGCCGGGGGCGATGCGGGCCAAGGCGCCGTCGTCCAACTGGATGAGCACGCGCCGCGTGCCCGGGCTGGCGAGCGGGTCGACGGAGAGGATGTCCGACAGCCCGGCGGTCAGCGGCACGACCAGCACCAGGGCGGCAACGGGCCTGGCTTCGCCGGGTTCTACCTGTGCGGCGAAGACCGGCATGACCATGTCGAGCACGAGGCCCGCCGGCAAGCTCCGGGCCGGCCCGAAAACCGTCTGTCCGCGCTCGAAGCTCTGCAGCGCCAGCGCGCGCTGTTCGGCGCCAAAGCTCGCCGAGCCGCTGGAAGCGACAAAGGCATCGCCGTTGCGGCCGACCAGGTAGGCGGCCAGGAAGTCGGCGTTTGCCGCGAAGTCGCTGATCACCCGTTCGATGAAGGGGAGTTGTTCGACCAGCGGTACACCGAGCCCGCCGTCTTCGCCGCTCTGCGGGGCGACCATGCGCGACATGTCGCCGTCGGCCAGGTCCATCTCGGCGGAAAAAAGCCGGATGAGCTCGCTTTCGACGACCGGCTGGGCGAGGCGCCGGGTTCCCTGAAGCCAGGTGGAAAGCACCTCGGCCTGGCCGCCGGCGGTCAGCTGCAGGCGCTCGGCCACCTGTTCGATAAGCTGGTCCCGCTTGGCCTCTATGGTCAGGCGCGGCACCAGGATGGCCGCCACAACGAAAACTGCCAGCACAATGCCGCCCCAGAGCAGCATGCGCCACCGACCCGGAGGCGCCGGTCTGGCATCGAGCGCCGGGAATTCCAGCGGATCAGCCGTTTCAGGACCTGAATTCGTCATAAACGGCTTATCTCATAGAGGAATTAACGAATATTTACAAAGCGGCGGTGCGTTTCTTGTCGTAGAAGTGCGCCCAGCGCGTGGTCTCGTTCATGGAGTACTGGGGCAGGTAGTGCCGGTACTTCTTGTGGGAGAAGATCAGGTCGCTGAGGCTGTCCAGGACCAGGATGTCATCGGGCTGGTAGACCGCCAGAACCGCATGGCCGATACGCCGGATCCGGTCCATCAGAATGACCACCCGCAATTCCTCGTTGGAAAGGCCGAGGTCCCGCAGCACGAAGAACTTCGCGATGGAATAGTCCTCGCAGTCCCCGGAGCGCTTCATGAACTCCTTGGGGCTCGCCCAGAACTCGCTGACGCCATAGAGCTCCTGGTCGATCTTGTAGGGCCAGCGGTTGAAGTATTGATTGACGGTCTTCAGCATCTCCAGGCGGGGCCGGCCCTTGGCGGCGGTGGCAACCTCCCGCCAGGATTTCAGGCCGGCCGAGGTACAGGCGGCCGCGCTGTTCAGGCAGGCATGGAAGCTGCTGCGCTCCTGCTCCATTTTCGAGAGCACCCGGGCCCATTGCGGCAGCGCCTTCAGATTGGCCGAAGAAATCTCGGTGGAGCCGAAGAGGCCTTTGCCGCGGTTGCGGCTGGACTTCAGAAAATCACCCAGGGACTGCGCCGCCGCCGGGTTCGCCACGGCCTCGATCGCGGCGCCGCCGAGGGCGGTGCCGAGCACGACTGCGGACGAACGAAGGAAGGCGCGGCGATCCAACTGCAGGCTCCCTCGGGGTCTGTGACCCGCGCGGACGCACGGGTGTCAGATGCACAGGTGTCGTGGGCTTTGAAGCCGCTTCAAAGCCTTGCCCTTTGAGGATCGCTGCTTTGGTTTAAGGGAAGTTTTCGAAAGATGGTTTACGCGAGTCACGGCCCGGTGAGGCGGATACCGGGCGTTTTTGCCGCAAATGCGGGCTATCCGGTCGGGCGGAATGGTAAACGCAGCAAAAAGCGCCGCCACCGGAGCGGCGGCGGCGCCGAGCCGAAAACTTGAGCCGGGCCGAAAACTTGAGCCGGGCCGGAAGCCTAAGCCGGGTCTAGCGTTCGCGGAGCGCCGAGCCCTGGGCCTTGAGAATGGGCTTCATGAGGTAATCCAGAACGGACTTCTCTCCGGTCAGGATCTCTGCCGTCACGGTCATGCCGGGAATGATCGGCAGGGTCTCGCCGTTGCGCTCCAGGTGGCTTTCCTCGGTGCGCAGATAGACACGGTAGAAGCTCTCGCCCTGTTCGTCCTTGATGGTATCGGCGGAGATCCGTTCCAGGCTGGCGGTCAGTCCGCCATAGATGGAGAAATCGTAGGCCGAGACCTTGATGATGGATTCCTGTCCCGGACGCAGGAACGCGATATCGGCCGGGCGAACCTGGGCCTCGACCAGAAGCGTGTCGTCAAGCGGCACGATCTCCATGATGTCCTCGCCCGGCTGGATGACGCCGCCGACCGTTGTGCGCTTCAGGTTCTTGACCGTGCCGCGCACGCGCGACCGCACGGCGGTTCGGGTGACCCGGTCCTGGCCGGCGAAGAGCGACTGGGAGATCGACTTCAGTTCGGCACGGATCCGGTTCAACTCGTCGGAGGTTTCCGTCTGCGTCGTCAGGACCATCTCGTCGATGCGCTGCTCGGCCTCTTTCTGGGCCGACTGCAGGCGCGGAATGGCGGTTCGGATGGTGCGGATCTCGCCCTCCAGGTCGGCGACCTGGCGGTCGATGCGGATCAGCTCGATGCGGGGCATGATGCCCTTCTGCACCAGCGGCGCGGTGATGGCCTGTTCCTCCCGCGCCAGGCGCAGGCTCTGCTCCAGCTGGCGGCGGCGGCTGCCCATCTCGGCGACTTCCTGCTTGCGCTGGCTGGCCTGGGATTCGAGCACCGAAACCTGGGCGGCGAGCTGACGCTTGCGCGCGTTGAAGAGGCGCCTCTGGTCGGCAACCACGATGGGCGCCTCGTCGGAGACCGACTGCGGGAACTCGACCGCTTCCTGCTGCTCGAGCTCGGCGATCAGACGGGCCTCGGTCGCCTGCAGGCTGAGGTACTGGGACCGGGCGTCTTCCAGGTTCGCGGTGGCGATGGTGTTCTCGATCCGCACCAGAACGTCGCCGGCCTCTACGATATCGCCCTCGCGGACCAGGATTTCCGAGAGGATGCCGCCTTCCAGGTTCTGGATGACCTGGGTCTTGGAGGAGGGGATGATGGTCCCCTCGCCGCGGGTGACCTCGTCCAGAACCGCATAGTGGGCCCAGACGCCCATGACGATGAAGAAGATAACCGAGATGACCGTCAGGATGTAGGCGAAGCGCCGCCCGCGGTCCCGGGCGGCGGCATGGACATCCGGCATGAAGTCGAGATCGTCACGATCGAAGACGCCTTGAGAGCTCATTTTCACTCAGTCCTTGGTTTCCGGACCCCAGCCCTCCCCGATGGTTCGGAAGAGATGCGCCAGGATCTTCTAAGCTTGGCCCAAATGCACGGCCTTGTCATTGATCTGGGTCGGACCATCGATCGGTCGGGGCTGTGCCGCGACGCCTGATGCCCGCTCAGCTGCTGCTGGCCCGGATCTGGCCCTGGCGCAGCGCCCGCAGTACCTCGTCTTTCGGGCCGTCCGCGACGATTTTGCCGTTGTCGATGATCAACAGGCGGTCGACCAGGGTCAGCAGGGAGCTGCGGTGTGTTACCAGGAAAAGAGTCTTGCCCGGCAGCATGCCCTCCAGGCGCCGTTTGAAGGCGGCCTCCGAGGAGTTGTCCATATGGCTCGTCGGCTCGTCCAGCAGGATGATCGGCGGGTCCAGAAGCATGGAGCGCGCGATGGCGACGGACTGGCGCTGACCGCCTGAAAGCGCCATGCCACGCTCGCCCACCGGCAGGTCAAAGCCCAGCGGGTGGGTGCGCAGGAAGTCGCTCACCCCGGCGAGTTCGGCCGCGCGCAGGATCGTTTCGTCGTCCACATGAGGGGCGCCGAAGCAGATGTTGTCGCGCACCGAGCCGAAGAACAGGTAGTTGTCCTGCGAGACATAACCGACGTTGCGGCGCAGGTCGGCCGGATCGACCTGCCGGATGTCGGTCCCGTCCATGAGGATCGCGCCGTCCATCGGCTCATAGAGGCCGACCATCATGCGCGAAACCGTGCTCTTGCCGGAGCCGATGCGGCCGAGCATGCCGACCCTCTCACCGGGTTTGATCTTGAAGGAGAGGCTGTCGAGCGCCTTTGTCTCCTGGCCCGGATAGCTGAAGGTCACCTGCTTGAACTCGATCTGGCCGCTCAGCCGCGGACGGTGCAGGAAGCGCTTGTTTTGCGCGCGCTCCGCCGGCGCCTTCATCACATCGTCGAGTGACCGCAGGGCGACCCTGGACTGCTGCAGGCGCGTCAGCATGGCCGCCACCGCACCCAGGGGGGCCAGCGCGCGGCCGGTCAGGATGGTGGCGGCGATCAACGCGCCCATGGTGATGTTGCCCTCGGCGATCTGGTACACGCCGAAGACAATCACGATCACTGTCGACATCTGAATGGCGATCTGGGCGAAGGTGGTGGCCAGGCCGGAGATAAAACGTGCCTGGCCCGAAGATTCGGCGGAGAGCCCCACGAAGCGCTCCCAAGAGCGCTGGACGCGGCCCTCGGCGGCGGTGGCCTTGATGGTTTCCAGGCCGTCGATGGTCTCGACCAGAAGGGCGTGCTTCTGGCTCGCTTCGCGCTGGCTCTTCTCCATCACGTTGCGCAGGGGGAACTGCAGGAACAGCCCGACGCAGATAACCAGCGGCACCATGGCCAGCGGGACGAAGGCGACCGGGCCGGCGACGATATAGATCACACCGATGAACAGGAAGATGAAGGGCAGGTCGACCAGCGCCACCAGCGTTCCCGAGGTGAAGAACTCGCGCAGCGATTCGAATTCCCGCAAGTTGTTGGCCATCGCTCCGGTCGATGCCGGCTTGGAGTCGAGCCGGGTCGACATCAACTGTTCCAGCAGCCGGCTGGCGATGATGACGTCTGCGTTCTTGCCGGCGATGTCGACGAAGTAGGTGCGCAGGTTGCGCATCACGAATTCGAAGCCGAAGACCGTGAGCACGCCGATTGCCAGCACCCAGAGCGTTTCGATCGCCTGGTTGGGCACCACGCGGTCGTAAACATTCATAATGAAGAGCGGGCTGGCGATGGCGAAGCAGTTGATCAGCAGCGAAGCCAGAACCACGTGGCTGTAGATCGGCCAGAACTGGGCCAGTGTTCCCCAGAACCAGGCCCGCGGCTCCGACAGCTTGCGTTCCGGCGCCCGCTCGTCGAAGCGCGCCTCGGTGCGCGCGAAGATGGCGTAGCCGGTGAACTGCTCCTGCAGTGCACGCATATCCAAAGACTTCGAGGTGCCCCCGGCCTCGGGCAGCAGCACGTCTGCCTGGCCGTTGGCGAGTTCGATCAGCACGCAGCAGTTCCCGCCTTTCAGCAGAAGGATGCACGGCAGGGTTACGGGCAGGATCTTCGAGAGCTGGGGCCGACGCACCACCCGGGCGGAGAGGCCGGCGCGTTCGGCGGAGCGGACCGCCAGTTCCGGCGTGAAGGCCTCCTGGGCATGGGGCAGCCCCGCTTTCAGGGCCTCAACGGAAATCGGCCGCTGCAGGAGGCCGGCGAGAAGGGAAAGCGAGCGGACCAGCGGATCCTCGAAGTCGACCGAGGACGGTGCGATCGCCCAGTCCTTGTCGGACGCATCTTCGATCACGTCCTTGGCTCGCAGCGTCACGCCAAGGCCGGCGCCCTTGATGTCTTCCTGTGCCGCAGCTTCGGATTCGGCAAGACTGTCGCCCTCGGGGGCGCCGCGATCCTTATTAAGTGCCTCACTCACGTCAGCTGTATCCTTGCTCTCGGCAGTTCCTTCGTCGGACTGCACACCCTTGATCAAACTCGTGCTGCCGTCCTCGGAGGGCTCCGGGGCTTCGGCATCCTGTGCAGGCGCTGCCGGATCCACGTCCGCCGAAGTCGGCGGCAGCTTCAGGTCCGGCTCTCTGGCGTCCTTCTCCCCCTTGGAGGGGCAGACGCCGGTCTTCAGGTCCGGCTCGGTGGCCGGATTCTCGCGTCCGAAGGTCAGGTCCGGGTCCGGTGGCCAAGCCTCGGAACCGGCCGCACCCTTACCGGACTTCAAACCGCTGGGGGGAGCCTTGCGCTTTGCCGTCGTGTCATCGCGGGCGGCCATGCTGTGACTACTGTTCCCCCGTCAACCTTGTCCGTTCCGGCGCTTTGGCTTGCTCGCCTCGCGGCGCTGAGCAATGGGCTGCGGTGGCGTGCCGGCCCACTGTTCTCACTCCAAGAACGATCAATCCCAAAGCTTCACTATAGTTGTTACGAATTCGCAAAGAGCCCGGGTTCAGGATGCCTGAAAACTCTTGGAAAAATTATCTTCGCTTCATTCGCAGAGGGTTAATAGCATACTTTGCCCGCAGGGCCAGTGGTTTGACTCGGACGGATTCATGACACTGTTCCATTGGCTTCGATCAGCCTTTGTTTCGGCGCTTTCCCGGCTTGGCCTCGTGTCGTCGCCTCAAGTTCAAGGACTATGGTCCTAGTTGGGCGCGTCTGATAAGGCCTGCACGGGACGCTGCGCCTGGAAACCCTATGGCCGCCTTCTGGGGGCGACTGTGCGAAATACCACAGTATTGGCCAGTAATGCGCACGGTCCGGTTGGCCGAAAGGCAAGTATTCCACTCCTGAGTTCATACGACCAGACGGGAAACTGAAAATGTGGGTCGATGGCGTTGAGCCTGAGGTTCATGGCGAGTGCCCTTTTCCCGGCAAGCCCGCGCGATCAGGCGCTTAAGCGGGGGTGGAGCAGGGATGGGGACAGAGGGCGGGCGGGGGATCGAGGCCGTGATCGGCGCACCAGCCTCATGGTGGCCAGAGGGGGGCATACCTCCTTTGAGGTGGTGCCGGGGCGACAGTGACGGATTGACAGAATCCGGAACCGGGCCTTATCCGCATGCTGCCTGAAGGGTGTCGGCGGTGTTTGTCACCCCTACAGCCGGATTTGTACCTGATGACAGTTGGTTGGAATCTGATCCTGAGAACTTGCGGTAGTGACATGAAAGCCGGACTGTGGTTAAAATGTCACAGTGTGGCAGATCAGACGATCAATCGCCGATTAACCCTGTTTGGGCTTGAGAGCGCTCGTTGACAGTCAAACTGGAAACAGGTTACAAGTCGCGAATATTTCGAGAATTGTTTGCCTTTCGTCCATCTCCGGACGGTGAGGTCCGACACGGGGGAGAGGTATTAGATGCAAGGTTTTAAGTCGGGGGAAGCTAGCATGCGCTGGTCTCGCAGTGTGAGTTTGACGAGTTTCAAGGCGGCGCTCTTGGGTGGCGCCATGGCATTTCCGTTGGCGATCTCGGCGAATGCCATGTCGCTGCAGGAAGCCGTAGAGCAGGCGATTGCCACAAATCCGGATATTGGCGTTGTCGCCAGCAATCGTGAAGCGGTCGATCAGGAGTTGCGCCAGGCGCGCGGACTGTACCTGCCGCAGATCGACTTTGCGGCCGGCATCGGTATCGAGAATTTCAATGATTCTACCTCCCGGGCCAATAACAACGGCGGCACCGAGACGACGAACCGGCGGGAGACCTCGCTGACGCTTCAGCAGCGGCTGTTCGATGGTTTCGAAGCCGGAGCGACGGTTGAGCGCGAGCAGGCGCGTGTCGAGTCCGCGGCCAATCGGGTTTTTGAAAACTCCGCGGTTCTGGCGCTGGACGCGATCGGCGCCTACCTCGAGGTGCTGCGCCAGCGCGATCTGGTGAAGCTGGCCGAGGAAAACGTTGCTTATCACCAGCAGGTGCTTGCCGCACAGCGTGAGCGGCTGCGTGGCGGCGGCGGCAGTGAAGCCGACGTGAACCAAACCGAGGCGCGTACCGCCCGGGCGGACAACACCCTGATTGAAACCCTGAACGATCTGCGGGACGCCGAGGCGATTTTCACCCGGATCGTCGGGTCCTTCCCGGGCAACGATCTCACCTATCCGGAGTTCCCTGGCGGTTCACTGCCCGAGAACCTGGACGATGCGGTCCAGCTGGCCGTTCGCAACAACAACACCACCAAGATTTTCGAGGCCGACGTACGCACGGCGGAAGCCGAGGTCGAGCTGTCCGAGGTCCCGTTCTATCCAGCCATCTCGCTGGAAGCTCAGTCCGAGTACAACGACGGCACCTCAGCGTTGGACACGTACGAATTCAACAACCAGCTCATGGTACGCGTACGCTGGAACCTGTTCCGCGGTGGCATCGACCGGGCAGCCCGCCAGGAGGCGCTTTTCCGCCTGACGGAGAGCAAGAACCGGCGTTTCCAGTCGGTGTTGGAATCTCAGCAGGAAATGCGGACTTCCTGGTTCGCGTTGGAAGCGGCCCGCGACAGCATCGAGGCGCTGGAAACAGCCCGCGACTTCAACCGCTCGACACTGGATGCGTACGAGCAGCAGTTTGAGGTTGCGCAGCGGACCCTGCTGGACGTTCTTGACGCCGAAAACGAACTCTTCGTCTCGGAAGGCCAGTTGGTGACGGCTCAGACCAACGAGCAGCTCGCGTCTTACCGTGTTCTGGGTGTTGGCGGCGTGCTGTTGGAGACCCTGGGCGTCTCAGCGCCTGAGCAGGCGGTCGTCGAGCAGAAGTCCTGGGCCGAGGGCCTCGTCGACTAGAAGCCCGGCACCCGTCGCGTTGCGGCGGGACGCGCCACAAGAGGTACGGCCCCTCCAGATGGAGGGGCCGTTTCTTTTTGGGCGCCCAGGCCCTGGGCCGCTGACTGCACCAATCGGCGCAGCCTGTTCAGTGGTGGACCGCTCTCGGGCCTGGTGCAGACCGAATATAGGTATTTTATCCTAGAACTGCCGCCTTCGCGGGCCGGAATGGTTGTCCTTTGTCTGCGGAAGATCTATTTTGGTTGGTCAGAAGTACGGAAACTGGGCCAAAGGGCGGCCTTTGCGGGATGGACGACAACAAGTCAGCTGTGGATCTGCCACAGGCTCCGGTCAGCGCCGAGGAAGCGCCTGAGCAGAGCTTGGTGCTGGACGTCGACCAGGATCGTCTGCCGCTGGTGATCGTGGAGCCTGGTGCGCCGTCGCCGGCAGACGACCTGAGCGCCGACTCCGTCTTGCTGGAGCTCGACGACCTGCTGCCCGACCCGGACGGAGAGGTGGTGCTGTTCACAGGCGAGGACGTGGCTGTGAACATTCTGACCTCGGAGACCATCACCCAGTTTGGCGTTGCAGAGGAGCACGTCACCGCAACCGGGGTCGATGTCACGGGTCTCAACTTCTACAGCTTCGAAGGCGGGCTGACAGTCTACAGCGCTAGCGACGTGCTGATCATCAACGACCCCAACATCACCTGACTTAGCCGTTGTTCCGCTGCCGGGACCGCGTGGCCGCTGTTTTCCGTTCCACGGCCAGGTAAGCCCGCGGGGCCTTCAGTCCTGAGAAGCCCTCAGCGGCGGCGCGGGTGCCGCCCCGGGCATTCCCGGACGCTTGGCCTGGGTTGACAGCCACATCACCGCATAGAATTCCTGGTAGGTCTGGGACCGCAGGGCCAGGATCGTCGCCTGCGCGGCGTTCACCCGCCCCGGGGCCACATAGAGCAGCTTGGCGTCGGTCTTCGCCTCGCGGCCGCTGATCATGTCTTGCCAGACCTCGGTCAGCGACCGGCGGGTCCGGACCTGAACCAGACTGGTCAGCTCCGCGCCGATGACCGCGACGTCCATCGGCCCCAACCACTCACCGAAGGCGCTGTTGTAGGCGATCACCGTGCGATACCGGGAAAGAATGAGGCCAGGGTTCGGACAGTTGGTCACGACGTCGAGCAGGCCGTGGTGGGTCGGTCCCAGGGTTTCCCGCGCCAGCGCCTGCTCACCCTCGAGCATGCAGAAGACCCGCAGATAGGATGAGAAGTTGGGCCCCTCATAGCCCTCGGCCAGCTCCGCGACGAAGCGGCCCAGGCGCAGACGGTTGCGCTCCGCCAGAACCTCCAGGGTCTGCCAGTAGATCGGTTCCAGCCGGACCGAGTAGCGCTTGTTACGGTACTGGACGATGCGCGGCTTGGGGGCCTGGTTGCCGAAGGTCTTGGGTGCGGGGATCTGCAAGGTTTCGGTCTGGTTGGTCTCAGAACATGGCTGAGCACTCATACATAAATATGGGCCAATCCGCAAGCCGGCGCGGCGTTCATGGGGGTGTTCATGCGGGCGTTCGAGAGCACCACCGGATACGGGGCCGGCAGTCTCTCACCGGCAGTCTGTCACCGGCGGTCTCTCAGAAGTGGAAAGGTGAAGCGTTCGGAAAGGTTCCGCCTGCGGTCGGCACCCTTCAGGGCAGCATGATGTCCTCGTGCTCGGCCACGATACCGCTCAGATCGGAGAGTTTGCTGCGCAGTTTGTAGCGTCGCGCCAGCTTGTCCTGGGCGGCAGCCGGCAGGTCGGTGAGCATGAAGACCCTTTTGTCGATCAGGACAGCGATGATGTCCTCGATGACGCGGATGAACTCGAGGTCAGAGGCTTCCAGTTCCTCGCGGATTCTCGTTTGCCCGAGACCGTCGCTGAGAAAGGACACCAGTTCCGGATCGTCGAGAGCGACCTGCTCGTAGGCCATCTCGGTCTCGCGTTCCTGGACTTCGGTGATCTGTCCGTGATCGTCTCGCGCCACGTAGGGCATGGCCGTGCTCCTTCCTCTGCGCGCTAGGCTATTCAGCCAGTGGTTAACATTGGGTAAGCAATGGCGCCGGAGGACAGCGAAAGGCCTAAGATTCCTTGCTTTTTGCTTGCCGAGGTCCGCACATTGGCGAAACTACGTTCATCCTGCCACAGGCCGATTCGCCCGAGCCATGCCGCTCATCGTCAGCAAAGCCAACACCAGGGACCCTGAGTTCGCGGAGAACCAGCGGATTAACCGGCAACTCGTCGCCGATCTGCGCGCCGAGGTCGAAAAGATCAAAGGCGGCGGCGGCGAGCGCGCCCGCGTGCGTCATCTGGAACGGGGAAAGCTCCTGCCGCGCGAGCGGGTGCGCTGCCTTCTGGACAGCGGCTCGCCTTTCCTCGAGCTTTCGCAACTGGCCGCCCACGACCTGTATGACGGCGAGGTGCCGGCCGCCGGGTTGATTACCGGCATTGGCCGCGTGTCGGGACGCGAGTGCCTGATCGTAGCCAACGACGCCACTGTCAAGGGCGGGA